TTATATGTTAAACAAATTCGTAAATCAAAAATTAGTATGTGTGTATATACACCTGGTGTAAATTAAGAAATTTTCATTCTTTAAAATACAAAATAATTTTGTTTTTATTGCGATAAATGAAAAGTATATACTCTTAATAAATACTCGTGGTGTATGTAAATGTTTAAATGTGTTTGAAAATAAATTTCTGTATAACAAAACACATTAATAACGAAACTTATGTATAATAAAATAGAAAATTCAATATATTTTTTGTGTCGTTAGGAAACGCGACATTTAATTACATCATAATTGATTAAATATTCAATAAAGTAAAAAAAAAAAAAAACTATTGCTATTGCTTATTTTACATATATTTCGAGTGAATTTTGGAAGAATTTAATTTCTAATTGAACCACCCTCTCTTTGAATAATAGTTAAGATGGGCTACGTAAATCTGTAGTTTCATTTAGATGCTTCTTTTACTGAATATGAGCTTCGTTTTTCGATTCATTACTAAACAAAATAGGACTTTTTTTTTTTTTTTTAATATAGAGTAAAATAGGATCTCTTTTTTTTTTTTTTTTTTTAAAGCAAACTTAGTATCCGCAATAAAAAAATAGTTTTTTAACTAATTGTCAAAACGAAGCAGAGGACTTTAGTACACGTGTAAATTAAATAGTTCTTGTAAATTAGCGCTCCTCAATTTTTAAATTTTTATTTCAATGAAGATTACTTTTTTTTTTAAACGTATGTTATAAATGACTATTTCGTATCAATTTGGTTTGAAAGTCATTTAGAGAAACTTTTACGATTCTTCTAATTATCATGAGATATATTTGAAACGCAATTAACCAATAACTATCTGAATATACTTAAAAGGCATCAAGTCTCCCATTTTTTAGTGATAACAAATTTTTTTCGAAAATGGGAAAGTATTTTATTTATATAATAATACAAATACTCACTATGACAAAATATGACAAAAAATAAACAACGATGAGTTTATGAAAAATCTTTATTCACAACCGGTGGGCTGTTTACATGATAACTAGTGTCTAAAATGTCCGTGCCTAACTGCTAAGGTAATTCGATACGTCGTAAATCGCGAATAGATCAGTCGCGCAACCTTCAACAGATCGACCAAAATTCTGGGTCGGCAAATATAGTTAACGATAGTATGAAACTATAGTTGCGAAATAGTGATTTCATTTTTGCTAACAATATATTGTCGCGTCGCGTGATGTCGGGATTCCAATATTCTAACCCCGCTTAGTAATCATTATTAAAATATTGGAATCCCGACAACACGCGACTCGACAATTAAATTTCAAGATTTAGAATTTTCAAACTTTGACATAGACCCCAGATTTTTAAAATCTTGCAAGAAAACTTCTTTGCTAAAACTAAAAGCTTGTTTCTTGTGTAATATTTTACTATAGGATTTTTGAAATCTGTGCTAAGCTACGTTGATCTCTAAACCTAAAAGATGTGGATATTAAATTTGGGATTATAGACGATCAGTATAATAATATGAATAATACAGTATATACTATAGTATGATAAAGAGTGTAAAGTGCCTATTTTAAAAAACTATACCAAACTTTAAATAACGATAATTTCTAAACTTAATATAATAATATATGACACCGAATCAGAATGGTAAAAATTTTAGAATAAAGTATTCTACACCTCATACCATACGAATTTGATCGCCCACAACATACTGATCTGTGTAAATTGCAATATCATAATTCAACACATTGGCGTTATTTTTTAAGACCCTAAAAAAAAAAAATATGAATAGATTACAGAACCTAAAATTGGCCAATTAAAACTGTAAAAGTGGCAGGCAGAACCAGAACGTTAAAGCCCTTATTAATTAAAGAATCTAATATTTCTATATATCTTACACTTTTGGAAAATGAAAACAATCAATTTTTATTGCTATTCATTGTTAGAATAAATAAAAATTATACTGATTTTATCAGTTTGGACTGTAATTTGAATCTGAACTGAATTGCTATGGATTGAAAACCAAAAATTATGATTTCGAAGACTATAAATTAGTCACGACTAGTTGTCGCATGTTTTTAATTATTTTTATTAATTAACTGTATATTACTCTCCCAGATATCAGACTCCATATGTACTATACCCGAGTCTACAACATAGAATAAAGCTTTGGTAAAATGTAAGATAGGAAAAATAGAATAAACCCACAATTATCAGACCCACACTCATACAAGAGACCCACGGGTCTAATTATTGGTTTTAAAATTGGTTAAAATGAATTAGACCCGGGTCTTGTATACGGCAGTTTACGGTACTTGTTAGGATACTGCGACCTGCAATTGTAGATGCTTTTGGACCGATAAGTTTAAAATAACAAATGGTCATCAGGTTACACAAATCACGATGACCTTAGATTCGTTTATTCCGGACACGTACGTACTTAAATTTTAGTAAACTCATCTTTATTATCACGTTACGACCGGTGGGCTAACATGATCATTAATATAATTTTTATTAAATCTTATGGCGCTATTTAAAAAGAAAACAAATAACACTAAAGAATATTTATTTGTTAATACAAACAACACCATACATTTAATCGATAAACAAAAAAAAAAAGGTTGAATAACGCATTACTTATTGCGAAGAGAGAATTTATTGTAGATTATGTACTAAATTTGAAAATGAAAAAAACGAATTCAATAATAATTAACAAATGGGGTCTTTGCCTTGAAAATGACCTTACGATATCATGTACCGTAAGGTCATTTTCAAGGCAAAGACCCCAAATTATCAATAAAGTTTAAACTCAAATATTAGAAACACATTTCGTCTCTCATCAGGGTGTTACAAATAAAAAAACAACCATGGGTATTCTGTTCGTGATACGTCTACTAATAGAACAGAATTTAAGAGTATCGCATGGACAACCTCACATGTTGCTACTGTTCACCATGAGTGTTATTACGACAGCTACTTGACAGGTGGGTGAAAATAACCGCTGATTACCATATAGATCAAAAGCTAGACTAGTGCTATGTACTCAAATACGAAGAAATTCCTTCGTGACTATCGTCCACTTCACTTCAAAAACCCAAATTATGACCGTCGTCCGACAGACCATAATTTCTCTAAAACAAATAAGCAATGACAGTCGTCCCGACAGGTCATCAAATCGGGATACGATCAACTCACCGACAATCACTTCGTAGACACCACATTTCACCGACAATTACTTACCGACAAGTTCATTTCACCGACAGTTTATTTCACCGGAAGCCCATTTTACAGACAATATAATTCTGGTCAATATCATCAAGGTTAGGCTAGAATTAGAGTTAAAGTTAGTGTAATTTATAAAAAAAAAACTTGTCGGTGAAATGAGCTTCGGTGAAATAGACTGTCGGTAAAATGAACTTCTATGAAATGATTGTCGGTCGTACCCCATCAAATCATAGTTTCTAAGCAGACCGCCAAATCAATTGCTAGGATGGGACAAAAAAACCGACAAAGTCAGGTTAGCAGAAAAACATAAATTACCTTATCTGGGAAAAACCCCGTTCCCTTTTAAATACTACTAACGTTACTAATCGCAAATACTACGTCATAACGTACCAGGTATATACGAAATCATCCGATAAATCACGACAATACATCAGCCGACCAATTAATATACGCTCGGATCGATTCGAGACAAAATGCTGCTCAGATACTTTCGTATCGGTCAGCCAATTAAGTTACACAAAAGGTAGGTGCGCGTTATTTCGGGACGCGTATGGGAGATATTTTGAGTACCCTAATTTAACTAATTTTTGAAAAAAGGCAAAATTCAAATTAACGCCCCGGTCCGCTATTACGCGCAAATACGATAATTTCTTTTTCCAACTCATTTGCGAGATATAGTGAAGATCTTCATGCAATGAACCTAATTTTGCATTCTTGCTTCCCTATCATTCCGCATACCCAGCTTCTATTACGATAACAAATACCAACATGACATTGTCCTTCAGGATGTCCTTTTCTGCGCATTTCATATATAATTCAAATACCTTCTTTTCAACACCTAATCCTTCATTGTAACAAAAAGCAACTTGAAATTTATCTAAAAGGACATCGGCAGATTCATAAACCATCCGAATGCATCTTTCTCTATTCCGACTCCTTCTAGATAGCAAAGACCAATCAAAAATGTACCTTTAGAAATTCGTTTTCTATGGATTTGTAAACAATTCAAATGCCTACTTATTCCTCTCGACACCATATCCATGACAATAAACTGATATTAGCTGTTCCTTCAGGAAATCAATTTCTGCAGATTTCTAATGCCTTCCTTCATCCTTCTCAACCCACTTTACTGAGAGATCCTTGAATACCCATCATGACTATTCAATAAATATTCACTAATATTAGTCATCCATGAATAATAACTGAACGAATATCTGGATATTACATGGATATTTATAAATATTATAGAAAATTTACGGATATATTAATTCTAAACAAATATTCATCAAATTCGATTATTCATGAGTATTCGCGAATTTTGTGTGACCTAAATATAATTGAATATTCACAATAAATCTAAATCACGAATTTTGTTTAACTGAATATTTGGTTTAATTTAATTGAATTGTAGGATCAATTTGATTATTTAAGCACCAATTGATAATATTATTAGGATTTTGCTTTTTTTGTAACAAAATTGTTCCAATTTAGAAAGAATTTTTAAAGACTTAACTTAAGATCACATAATTCTTTAACAATATCTCTATTTGCAATGTATTTGAATAATATCTAAACTTATTAGTATAGTACAAAAAACTTTTATCGTTAATTAAAGATCGTAAATACAGTATTATGATAATAGTTTGAATATGTTTTTACTACAGTACTGGTGTTGTAAACTTAAATGCCAAAATAATTTACGAAATTATTAGTTTGTTTAATAATTAATGTATTCCTCCGAAAATAAGCACCCACAATTCATATATACCCACCTCTTATATAATAGTCGTTTAGATTATTAGTTGAGCTTATGCCCGAAAATAAGCACCCCTATAGTAAAAAGGGTGCTTATTGTTTTGGAGGCATACGGTACAAAAATCACAATATATTAATTAAATTTAGAATTATAAATGCAAAGATTTATTACAGTAATTTAATGATAATTTATCAGGGATATATTATTATACTATGACTTTATATTTATTATACTGAAATCGTGTTTTGTTAATATGATTGATGGATTGACTTCTACAAATTTATCGAATAATTAAGAACATTCACCATCGAATATAAAAGGTTCATTTAATGGGAAATTGGGTTATTTTGACAATGACTTAAGTTTAAACTCAATAATGAAATAGCCAAAACGGGAGAATAGTTAATAATAAAGTATAGTAAAAGCTGTGATATTTGCAAGGAATCATTTTAGATTATACACTTAAAATTTCATCAAAATTTTCTTAATCGAATAGCGCGAGATGCAATATGATGACAATTTTTATTGTTTTTCAAATTATAACTTTAATAATTATCAGTTACAAAGAAATATAAAAATTTTGCACTAACAGGGGGCATTTTAGAAATTCATTTTGTAACCGAAAATTAACAATAAATGATATTTATAAAATTTATTGAACTAAAAATTATTCTGGAATTACGTAAATAAGTTTTACTTTAGCATGGAGCGTTCAAATACAGTAATAAAAATCATAATAATAATTTATAGAAAGCCTTTATATCTGAGGCCTAAACGAATAATAATGCTTTAAAATATAAAATATAATGTGGTTATGGGAGAATTTAACATTTACAACCTTCTTGTGAACAGCTGCAATTTTCTCCGCAGTTGCAGGTACTATTGATGAAGAATACAAAGATTATTAGTACGATAATTAATCATAATCATATCAAAACTCATTTTTTGCAATAATTACCTGACACCACAGTTAGGGTCTGTTTCGATCTGTTTATCGACGAAATGTTGTTGAGTATTTTTTGTGCAAGTGCAGTTAGCGCACTGGCAA